GGGCCCCTTCCAGCACGGGGATGGAAGGTGCTAAATCTGGCTACAATCTGCTGCTCCCGCTTACAAGAAGGGAAACAAAACTGTGTGGGCACAGCGCCGCCTGCTTGGCAAGACAGCGTTGCTAAGTGGACTACTTCCAACGACACCCAGGTCCGAGCTGTGGGAGCCAGAAGGCTTGCGGGTCACGGCGAGATGGGGACCCCCAGCAACGCCTGCGGCACCGTGGCGGAGGTGGGGGGGACTCCTAGGACCTTGCTGGGTGCCATTTAACCGATCATCACCTCAGCGGCTACTAAACGCTCAAAGAACTCACCACAGGGCAGAGCTCGGAGTCAGGGGCACAGGCCGCCCCACTCCAGCACTGCTGGGTGGAATCCTAATGGTCCCCAACATCAAACTGTCCAGCCTGACTGGTTGAGTGGCCTGGACCCCAAGTATAACTTGGCAGGGCCCCAAAACAAAAAGTCAAGGTCAGAGCAATAGTAGAGTGCCTGGGCACTTGCCTTACATGTGGCCGACCTGGGTTTCAATCCCCTGCATCCCATGTGGCTCCCTCAGCCCACCAGGAGTGAGCCCCAAACCCAAATAGGGCTGGAGCAATAAAGCAGGCAGGGTGTTTGCCTTGCACACGGCTGCCTTGGGTTGGATCCCCACATCCCATGTGGTCCCCCAAGCACTGCCAGGCGTCACTCCTGAGTGCAGAACCAGGAGTAACATTGCCAAGTGTGGCCCCAAAACAAAATAAATTCAAAACACAACAACTGGAGTTAAAATCAGGAGAGGAAAAAGGCGAGAAGAATGAGAGATCGTCCAGCAGGACCTGCCTTGCACGTGTCTGACCCGGACCCAATCCCCGATACATACAAATCCCTGAGCTCCACCAGGAGTAATTTCTTAGTGCAAAGCCAAGAGTAACCCTGAACATCGTGAGGTGTGACCCCAAAACTCAAAGAGGGTGGGGTGTTGGTGGGACAGGGGGTGGTCGAGGACTTTGACAGGCTGGAGCGGGTGTTTGGCACCCGGGCACGCGTGATTGCCCCCACTACACCCGGAGGAGCCCTTGAGCACTGTTGGGGTAGCCCAAAATCTAAGACCGATACCACCACCAACAGCATCAGTCACTCCAGATCTAAGAGGGGCCCCTGAGCACAGCCAAGGGGCGAGACCTGTTTCTTATTCTCGGGGAGATCTTCCTCCATGGGCTCGGGCTTGGTCTCCTTCTTGGGCGGGGGTGGCGGGGGCGGGGGCATGACCTCTTCCTCTTCCTCCATGTTGCCCAGGTCCACTCCCAGGAGCACGCTGAGCGTTGTCATGATGCGGGGATCCTGAAGTTTCCTAGTGGTTATTGGAGACACAAAAGCAGCAATGGCTCCTTCCGGTCTGGCCTCAGTCCCTCTGGGGGAGCACCGTGCCGGGACTGCACGACTGAGGCACAGGAGACGCAGACAGAGGGGCGAATAAGTGTCTTCGCCACCTGCTCTCAGGGATGGGGGGGAGCCAGAGGGACACGGGCACTAGTGGCACCACCGAGACTGAGGACACAGCTCTTCCTGCTTGACTTTCATTTCTGTCCCGAGCTCCTGCTACACACCACCGCGCACAAGGGAGCAGGGCCTGTGCTGACAGGACACTGGTGTGAGAGCAGAAGCACGTGGGGGTCAGAGAACATTCCAGATTTCTCTGGTTATCTGCTATCCCCAGCAGGACCCTTAGATAAAAGCCACAAGCCATCCAACAAACCTACACAGCACCGAGAAAGCACACACGAGGGGACAGTCCAGGCCAGGTCCAATCTACTCAATTCCAGAGACAAACCCGCCCCAAGGCCTGCACTCACGTGCCCAGGTCGGCCGGCTTGTTTCGCAGCTGCTCTACCAGTTCCCGGTAGGTTGGATCAGCGAGCAGTGGCTTTGTCCTGGGATCGTTCTCCAGCCTCTGGTACAGATTGGGCATGTTGAAGGGGTTCATGAATTTCTTTTCTGCTTGGAACAAAGGAAAGAGCTTCACTGGAAACCGCTGGAGCAATCAGGCCGCGCAGCCCGACATCCTGGGTCAGAGGGGAAACCTGCTGTCCCACTGAAAAGCCAACAGGGCTGGAGAGCCACAGGGCTCCCTCCCTCCATGCCACCAGACGGCACAGGCACCTCTGCCTGGAGCACGGCTCGCTGTGGTCCAACCACCTGCCTCCAATAAAGGAAACAGTGAAAAGAAGGAAGTACGTTAAGGCCCCAGCACGTCCGTGCTCACCTGCCAGGCGGGCCTCCATGTTCTGCAGCCCCTCTTTGAGCTGTGGGTTATTCGCTTCGTATTTCAAGCCCTCCTCATAGGTTCGCTTGGCTTCCTCAAATCGGTTTAAGAACTCGAGAGCTGCTGCTTTTCGAGAATAGCCCTTAAACCAACAAAGACGAGTGTACAATTAAGGTGACTCCTACAAGTACATCTTGAAAATAAAACAGAACAACAGCCCATCTGACGATTCCCGAAACAGAACTGCAGGCAGATGAGCCCAGGAGAGGGGAGCAGGACTCTTGTGGGGACACAGACGCGAAATTCACCTGCGGTTAAGTGCTGTCTGGGGCGGTTTCTTTCCCAGAGGCACAGAAATCACAGGTCGTACAGCGACTTATACCATAGACCTGATGACGCCATCACTGGATGATGCAAATGGAAGGAGGGGGAGTACACCACACCGCTGTACTGGCACAGGCCAGGGACCTTGAACAGTTTCCCACCCGTGACCCCCTTTCATTGGAGGAATTTTTAGACAATCCCAGCACAAATCACAAATATGTGAAATATCACATTTTAAGTATTTTTTAAAAGAACTTTTGGGTAACACTCAATTTTGGTCACGTAGCTGCACACGGCGTCCCAACCCTGTTTAAGAGCTGGAGCGCGCGCTGGCTAAGACAGCTTTGCATGCTGGAGGCCTCCAGCTAGGTGTGGCCCTACGCCTCCCCACAAAAAAAGAGAAAAGGGATGGCACAGCGGGTAGGCCCTTGCCTTGCTTGCGCCAAGCCAGGGTTTGATCTCCAGCACCCCATATGATCTCTAAGACCACCAGAAATGATCACCGAGCAAGGAGTCACCCCCGTGCTTCCTCTACCCCCCCCAAGGCAATGCTTAACTTCCAGACCAACACCCGTCACCCTTACCCCACCCCCTTCTGGACTACCAAGACCCCGTTTTAGACTCTTCAGATGCCTTTGAGCTGGCTCGCGGGGACAGTCACTGTACATGAGGCACCCCGGCTGGAGGCGCCCGGCCAGGCCCGCTTACCTTGCCCCAGTCCGGCTTCAAGCCCACGGTCTTGCAGCCGTCCTCATAGGCCCGCTGGTAGTCCCCCTTCTTGGCATAGGCGGCCGAGCGGTTGCTGTAGAGCACGTGGTTCTGGGGGTCTAACTTGATGGCCTCCGAGTAGCACTGCAGCGCGTCATCGATGTTCCCGGCGCTCAGGGCCTTGTTGCCCTTCTCCTTCAGTTCGTTGACCTGAGGAGAAAAGAATGACTGAGTCGGCACACCTCCACAGGAGTTCTTACAAACACATCAGAAGCCAAACACACTCTTAATTCCCTTCCCTTTTATTTGGGGGGTGGGGGGGGTCATACCAGAAAATGCTCAGGGGACTATATGGGATGCCAGGATGGAACCCAGTCAGCTGCGTGCAAACACGCTTCCCGCTGTACCATCACTCTGGCCCCACATTTCCCTACCTTTGCGGGAACTAGTCAGTCAGAAAGAAAAGGACTCGGAGTAAGTTCAGCCATGCCAGGGCACACTAGTGAGTTTGTGTGTGCGCGCGCAGCGGGAGTGTACAGGGATGGGGGGGTTATGCACCCATGAAAAGACTTTGTTGGACAGATTCCTGGTGACTGCAAATAAGCATGGCGGGACAGGGCTGACCCAAGTGCTGAGGATATGTGCGCCCGGTTTCTTCCCGGTGGACAGGTGTGTCTTATGTCACAACTTAGTCTTTGATTAATTAAATCACAGAGGGAGGGCCTTGGGGGGGAGCAAGCAAGTTATCATCCTGCCCTGGCCCCCCAGCAATCTATTACAAAGGGCTAAAGGGATGGGGAGAAAAAAAAACGCCCCGAAAACCGGGGGGGGGGGGGGGATCCCCTATCCCCAAGCACAGGATAGCTGTGGCCACCCTAACCTTCATAGAGGGCCACCCCCCTCCCCGGAAGTGCCCAGCACATCCCGGGGGGCCGGCGGCATCACTTACACGCAATCTCGCATCTCCCGGCCAGGCTGGCCTGGCCCGCGAGACTTCCGGCCGGAGCAAAGATCTTGGCGGTCCCCCCACCCCCGCCCCGAGAAGCTACTCCCCCCGCCCCCCCCCACCCCAGCAAGCCACGCGCACAGCGTCCAACTGGGTCCCCTCCCAGGGCAGCGCCGAGGCAAACAAGTTCTCCCGCTCCTCCTCCTCCCGCCTGCAGAGACCGACCTTCCAGGCGGCTCGGGCCTCCCGCACTCGGATCGCGCGCCCAGAAAAACCAAGACGTTTCGAAAGCCAGCGGGGAGGAGAGGAGAGGAGAGGAGCAGAGGAGCGGCGCGGGCGCGGGGCCTGCGGCTCGCCCGCCCTCCCGCCCGCCGCGTCCGTCCCGCGTCCACTCCCCGCGCCTGCATTCCTCCAAGTTAACTGTGGCCAAGTCCCGGGCGGCCGCCGCTTCCTGCGGGCCAATCTCCGCTCTCCCTCCCGCCGGGCGGACGCCCCGAGGCGCGCCCGCTCTCTCCCGCGGCCCCTCGCCCACCCCCGGCCCCGCCGGCCCGGCCCGGGGCCACCTCCCGAGAGGCCTCCGGGGCGCCCCCACCCCCACCCCCGGCCCGGACTCAGGCCCAACTCTGGCGTCTGCCCCCGGCCCTCCTCACTGGTCCGGGAGGAGATGGGCAACCGAGCCACCCCCGACGCTCCGGGGCGGCCGGGCCTCGCTCCGCCGCTCCTCTCCCGCCGGCCGCGGCCCTCGCCTCCCCGTCCTGGGCCGGCCCCCGCCCCGCGCCGCGGCCGCGTAAGCGGGCACTATGCCCTCTCCGCTAGCAACTGGCCTCGTCGGCCCCCCGGCGGCCTCGGGGCCTCGGCCCGCCCCTCCCCCTTCACCTGCTCCATCGCCCGGCCCGGAACCCCGTTGAATCGACTCCGTCCTCTCCGCGTTCCCAACCGCACGCGCCGCCTTCTGGAACCTACTAGAAGCTGCCGGGACCCCCAGGTCCCGCCCCTTCCCCGCTCGCGCATTGGCCGCACTCCGGCCAGGGATTTTCCGTACTTCTCGACTATTGGCTGGCGGGCAAGCCCATCATCGGGACTCCTCGCCCATTGGACGGTCGCGCGTAATCCCGGCAGTCCGGCCTCCTCGTGCATCCGGATTGGCTCTCGCCGAAAAGCCTCTCCCCTCGCAACGCGCTGCAATTGGAGGGCGGGGTGGGCCTCTGCGAACACCATTGGTCGCTCGCTGTGCCAGTCGCGGCCGCGCTGGCCGCGCCCATTGGTCCTGGTCTTTCTGGAAATTTCCACCTCTCCCATTGGGCTGACAGACTCCCGGCCGGAACCGCCTTCGCTGATAGGTTGGGGTCCCTGCCCTTCCGCGGGCGGACTGGGATTCCGCCTAGTGGCGACTTGGGGCAGTCGGGAGGCCCGGCGGCGCCTCTGCGCGCGGGGGTCGGGGGCGGTCGCGGGGGCTGCGAGGCCCGGGTCGCGTCCCGCCGCGCGCCCGCGCGCCCGCGCGCCCGCGCGCCCGCGCGCCCGCGCGCCCGGCGGGGACGCGCCTTCCTCCGTGTGCCGCCGCGGGAGCGCGCCGTTAACTGGGATCGTTGTGCGCGCGGCGGTGAGGCGCCGGGATCCGGGCGGCGCTGACCCGGGGTCTCAACCCGGCGGGGCCGGCCACTCCCCGGGGCGCTCGGCCGGCCAGCACCCCGCTCCCAGAACCTCCGGGGTAACGGGTTTGAGGTCGGGGCTCATCCTCTCCCTGCGTCAGCGTGGTTGGCCGAGAGGGGACCCGTCGGGGACAGCCTGAGCGGGGTGCGCGGGGCACCTGGCGGCGGCCCAGGGGTGGGGGACGGGCAGGACCACCCCGGGCGCCGGGGACCAAGGCGGGTCAGCCCGACCTGCCGGTTCTAGTGCCGCTTGTCTCCTCCGGGATCTGTCTGCCCACTTCACGGAACGAAGGGTTTGGAGGGGGCAGATGGGGGGGCGTTTGGCCCCAGCGCTGTCGTCCGCCCTCTCTGGGCAGTGCCATCCCTTCCTAAAGGCTTCAGTGCCGTCTGTGCCGTTCATGCCTCTTCCGACCCGCACTGCAAACCGAGACCTGGGCAGATCCGCGTGCCTGGGGTGGGGGGTGTGCCCCCTTCCCTGGAAGTGGCGGAGGTTTTAGAACTGGGGTTCAGAGTCTCCGCTCTGGCGGACTGGGGGTAGGGGGTCTGCACTTTGATCACTCAGAGCATCTCTTTTAGTCCCGTTTGTCCGGGCAGGCCCCTTCCTGCCAGATCTGCTGCAAACTCCTCCCTTTTCCCCGTCCCTCCTCGCCACTGAAGCGGGCACCTACTGGCTGAGAGCTGTCAGGGTTCATTGGCCACCTGGCCGCTGTACCAGCACTGGGGGCACACATTGGTCCATTCACAGTTAAACGGGTGACTTTTTTGGGGCCCAGAGGCACTGCATGGTGACCTAGAAAAATGCGGTTTCTTGCTTTTGTTATTTTGGGGCCACACCCGGTGGAGCTCAGGGCTTACTCCTAAGTCCGTGCTCAGGGGTTGTTCCTGGCGGGGGTTAGGGGACCATATCTGCTGCCAGGGGTTGAGCCTGGTCTGCTGTGTGCGAGGCAAGCGGCCTTCCCCTGTGCTATCTCCTTAACTCCAGAACTGTATTTCTTAACCTGTTTACCCCTGTGGTTCCCTTCTGATCTGGTTTTCTTTCTGTGGCGGTCCCCCGACCTGCTCCCCACTCATGTGGTTTTCACCTGGAATATTCTAGAGACCCATAGGGGTGCCTTAATGGTGCCTGGTTGAGAAAACACTTGCTCGGAGAGTCTGCCTTGCAAGCACATGGTCATGGGTTTGAAACTGGCGTCTCACATGTGCCAGGCGCATCCTGGGGCAGCCCCACTGTGGTCCATGGAACCACCAGCACTACCTGGTGCACCTTTGGATGTTTGTAAGCACCACAGCCAGGAAGAGTGACCCCTGGCAAACTTACACCCATAACTGTATCCCCATTAGCACCAGAAACTCGGGTACAAATGCAGACCTCGGAGTGCAGATCTTGGAGCGCAGTTGTCAATGAGCAAATACTGTATGCACGACATCAGGACATCTATGCCAGCTCCGTCACTGCATCAACCCAGGGAAGGGCAGGGGGAATCAAAATGTTAAAAAAAAAAAAAAAAGCATTTTGGGGATCAGAGCCATAGGACAGCTGGTAGAAACGCAGCCATCTCTGTGACAGACCCTGGGTTGATCCCCAGCACCCCCTAGGGTCCCTTGGAGTACTGCCAGGAACAGTCACTGAACACTGCTGCTTGTGGCCTCTCCTGAAAACTGAGAGCATTGCCCAGTAGGGATCCCTACAAAATATTTGGGATGTTAGAGCCAGAGAGAGAGTCTCCAGGGCACTGTGTTTTGTTTGCTTTCAGTAAGCCCTGGGGGTGTTCAGCTCTTACTCCTGGCTTTGCGCTCAAGGATCACTCCTGGTGGGGTTGGGATGCCATATGGGGTGCGGGGGATCAAACCCAGGTTGGCCGTGTGCAGGCTGTACTATCACTACAGCCCCCACCCCCAGCTGACCCGGGTTTGATTCCAGCATTACGTAGTCCTGAGTGCTGCCAAGAGTGATCCCAGAGCACTGCTGGGTGTGGCCCAAGCTCCCCCACCCCCTGTAAGCACACACACAAACACTGAGGCTCGGTGTGGGAGGCTAGGGCTTAGATCCGGGCCTGTTCCCTCCTCTAGCACTGCTGGGAACCTACAGGGTGTGCCCCCCCCAAAAAAAAAACGGTGGCTTTGATATTGGGGCTACACTTAGTATGCTCAGGGAGGGTCTTTTTTTTTTTTGGCCTTTTGGGTCACACCTGGTGATGCACAGGGAGGGTCTCGGACTACTCCCAGCTTGGTGCTCTGGGGGCCATGTGGTGCCAGGGGCCATGTGGTGCCAGGGATGGAACCTGGGCCTCCCACATGAGGTACTGCTCAACCTGCTAAACGGCACCCGCCGCCCTTTGCTTTGATATCTGTGCCATATGCTGGGCTTGGTGTCTTCAAGAGTGGCACCGAGTCTAGCGTACCCAGGTGTTCTCGACTCCCGGGCCCTGCTGTGTGGGCATGGAATTAGCAGAGAGCCACTGGGATCCCCGTTTCTGTAGAGTGCCAGGGGTCAGGGGACCAGCATGGCCGCCTCAGGAGAAAAGATGCAGGGGAGGTTCAAGGAGCGTTTCCCAAAGGGGACCCAGGCAGCCCCAGTGGGACGCTAGCCTCTCAGCTCAGGAACTGTGATTCCTGGGAAACTTGGGGACAGCCTTGAAGAGGCAAAGGAATGGAGAAGGCAGGAGTGGACGGGGAGGGAGCAGGGTGTTCTGCGGGCCAGGGGGAGGCTGCTGGGTCCTTTCTCAAGGAGCAGAACCTCATGATAGAACTCATGGTGGAACAGTTGCACCAGGACCCCTCTGTGGGAGGCGGGGAAGAGCCCTCTCAGGAGCCCCAGTGACTTTCCTTGCAGGAGAGGCTGCTGGCTGGCCTGGCGGGGAGCTTGGCGGGGCTTTGGGGTGCATTTTGGAGGCCTCAACAGAATCTCTGGGGTGCCAAGCGCCTGGGGCTTGAAGGGGCATACCCAGACCTCCCCCTCTCTCCCCGGGCGGCTCGCCCTGGCTCCAGACCACCACACTTGGGGCTGTCTTGGCCGCCCACCTGCTCTTTAGCGGATGGTCTAGGGGTGTGGGGGGGCGGGGGCCTTGCTTCGCCTCCAGCAGCCTCCCACCTCTGCCAGGATCCTGCCAGCCCTCCCTCTGGACAGGGCCACACCCTTCTCTCCTGGTGGGAGGCGGGGAACACTGCTCTGGCTGCAGCAGAGGCAGCCCTCAAGCCAGCTCTCCTGCACGGGACGCGGGTTCTAGTGGGAGACTTGATCCTTAGGCTCAGGCTGTGTGATTTCGAGCAGCGTGCTCAACCTCTCTGTGCTTTCTGTTTTAAAATGTGGAAGGACCTACGCAGCTGACCCCAGTTCAGTCCCCGGCACTGCATCCTGCCAGGAGTCTCTTCTAAGCACTCCCGATGGGTATAGTCAAAACCCCTCTCCCCCCTCCCCAAACTAAAATGTGGATAAAAACATTTGAGGTCACAATGGTTGTGAGGGAGTAAACACTGAGGTATTTGTACAGTACAGACAGCCCTGCGGGGGGCTCAAGGTGGTGGAGCACATGCAGGTACATGCTGGACCCTGGGCTGGTTCCCCGGAATTGCATGGTTTCCCTGGGCATCATTGAGTAGAACCCTGAAGGACCCCCACACACCACCAGGAATAGCCTTTATCAGAGTAAAATTAAATGTACAAATGAGGATCAGTACAAATGAGGATCAGAGAATCATTCTAAATTTCAGTGAGTAGTATTTTTTTTTTCTTGCTGAGGTGATGGGGTTTGGGCTACACTTAATGGTGACCCCAAAACCAAAAAAGAAAAGAAAACAAAAGTTGGGACCAGAGCGACAGTACAGCTGGTAAGATGTTTACCTTGTATGCAGCTGACCCAGGTTCGATCCCTAGCATCCCATATGTTCTCCTGAGCATTGCTAGGAGTAATTCCTGAATGCAGAGCCAGGAGTAACCCCCAAGCATCTCTGGGTGGGACCCAAAAGCCAAAAAACAACAAAAAAAAAGAAAGCAGAAGTCAAGGGTCAGAGAGATGATGAGGGGGTAGGATGCTGGAGTGTGTCTGTGGTGGCCATGACTCAGGTTTAAATCTCTGCACCATATGTGATCCCCTGAGCACCTACTTCCAAGCACAGAACCAGGAATAACC